CTTCAGCCAAATTGAAATTCAATTCTACTCCTAATTATATTAAACCCATCTGTTAATATGTTTTACGAAATTGTTTCCACGTCTGAGCTTGTATTCCGTTACGTAATTACGATCGTCCTCAACTGTAAAACCGTAATCCAGTTCTTCCACACGCGGAAGGCCGAATTGCGATTCGTGTATACAAAAATCATCCCTTGAATAACGAATTGGAAATCGGTTCAGGCTTTTTCTTTGGACACTGCTCTTTCAGTTGCCTGGAAGAAGTGACGAAAACCACAAAGAACTACTGAATATTTGTTGTTTCGGCAGAGATTCGAAAGGAATATATCCCGGTTACAAATCAAAACGTTGCCGCTTCGGCCAATTCGCTCCGCTATCTGCTTCTGAAACCCGTACACGAACAAAACACAACTAACACTATTCAGACGACCTATGCAGCATAAGGTTCAGGATATAAATAGTATACACCCTGTTATTCAAAGTCGTTTATCATTTACTGACGAATCCTCCGTCGCTATGTGGACTGCCCAATGCCACACAACTGCTGTTACCGATATATCCATTATTGGTTATCTGATTCGTTGAGGTTAATACAGACACCCAGCGGCATCAGACCCTCTATTGTTTCACATGCGCCGAGTGGATACAAAATTGATTCCATGTTTTTATTATAGATCTGATTTATTACATATAATTTCAATTTTCTTTGTTTAAAATTCAACTGGCCTTCTTCAAATATGCACCTGTAACAATAATTCTTCCGTTCTGTGTTTGTAACGCTTTGAGTCAGCCGTTTTCTTCCTCCCTGCAATAATATGTAACCATAGTTCTTCGTCTGAAGTCTGCTGTTTACGTTCTAATCACGTATTTTCGTCTACAAACTAATCCATGGTCAAGTGTGATAACCTGTGGGATTGTTTGCATTACTAGTGATCTTTTCCAGTAAAAGTGCAGAGATACGGTGTCTTATTCAATATTATATAGATAAAGCGTGCATAACGACAGCGGTTGGAGCCACTACTCTGCCGTACATCTGTAAGTTAGATCTTACAAGTGGCCGCGCCATAGCTCAAGCTGTTAGTCCCTGGCTGCCCATCACTCCGGCCCAGGTTCTACCCCGAGTCTGTTCATTTGGGATTTGTGGTGGACAAAGTGGCGCTGGGACGGGTTTTCTCCGAGTACTTCGGTTTCCCCTGCCAATCTTCATTTCACCAAATTCTCCATCATCATAATCACCCGGGGCAGGCTACAATAGGCCAACCAGTGGCTGCCGTGCCGAGTGGACCCAGCTGGACTCCACCCCCCACAATGCGAAGTTAAAAAAAATAATTTTTACATCCTACAAACCCCTGATGTAAAGTAGATATAAAGTCTGCATTGCTCAGTCGGTATAGCGATGGACTACAGGATCGACGGCCGAGGTTTGATTCCCGGCAGAGGCAAGAGATTTTTCTTTTCTCTACAGCATCCGGACTGGCGCTCTGGCACACTCAGCCTCCTATCCAATTAATGCTAGGAGCGATTTCCCTGTGGAGTAAAGTGGCTGGGGCTGAAACTGACCACTCACCTCCATCTAGTGCCGAGGAGAAGATTGGAGCTATACCTCCGCTCCCCCATATATCTTTATGATACAGTGCTTAATAAGTTAAGCACAGGGACAGATTTACAGATGGGAAAGATAAATATTCCACATTTGCCTCTTGCATGAAGATAATCTACGGAGAAGATTTCTGCTCCGAAATATTGTTCTTGGTGAATGTCTTCAGGTCTCATCAAGTTTTTCTTCAGTCTTTGTCTTTTTCTGACTTCGTCTTGTCGGGCACAGTCCCCGCAGAACTTAATTGTGTTGCGTTATTGTGAATCGTTACCTCACAAGGCTTGGCACTGGCAGGATAGTTCTATGAAATTTTCTGCATCATTTGTGCCCTGTAGTTGGATGAACGAAGTTGTCGCATATGAATAATTTCTTTTCAATACGGTATTTCATTTTGAACGCTATAATTCACGACAGTGAGAATTATATTTTACGTATCTCTATATTATTACAAACTAAATCAAAATCCGTGGCTTTAGTCCGCAAGCGAACTATACCGACCGAGCGACCGCCGCTTGTCGACGAAATTAGTACCAACTTTAGGGGATAGAGGGTGTCACGTAGTCAGCGCAACGAATGCCCACGGCCGTTAAATTTGGTTTTCTAGACCGGCTCAAGGATAACTGAAGATATTAAATATCAGCGCTATAGTGGTCAGCAACATGAGTGACGGACCGACGGTTTGGCGGCCAGCGATGCACAGGCGTAGACGAACAAATTTCTACCTGGTCGTCTGTCTAAGGATAGACTGGATTTCCTGTAGTACGTAAACCACACGTTTGCTTTACATCTAAACTCGTCAATAAATTCTATATATAACATCTGTGAACTGTGTAGTATATCTGGACAACATACGAAAGAAATAAAATTAATAAATTACAGATTTTGTCTATAAATCAGCGTCTAGGATGAGACGATGCTTGGCTTAGGTTATTTGTCCGTAACACGCGCAAGACGTTCCACCATGCGAATTGATATGTACAAACTCTACAACATAATTATGATTCTCATGTTATGAGGGGTCATCAAGTTTTACACAAACTAGCCGTCGTAGTAACAAAAAACCCATAGAAATATTTATATTGTTTAATTTTGTGGCTTTGAAATCTGGATCATGTGGTCTGAAAACATAATTTCATATTTTCCATTAAGAAGAGTTCTTGAAATAAAATGTAATTTATGTTCTAACTGATTTTGAAGTTTCCTGGCTACTGTGTTCTGAAGAAAAGTCCACGATACACGCGAAGGGTTCCGTTTATTATTATTATTATTATTACAAGCTGTAATTCAATCTTTCATAATGTAAAACTTGTAATCAGACCCTGTTCATTGCTTGCTTGGCCCAAAATATTAAGAACATAGTGGATTTTAAAATTATGTCTAGGTTTTTCAACCCCTCTCAGCGCAGGGGGGTTGGAGAAGACTTTTAATCTACTTCATATTCGTAATAATAAAAGAGGGATGGGGGTGGAGGAGGTGCGTGCCATGAACTTCCTAACTAAATGACAAAACGAAGGGATGTTTAGTTTAGAGTTTTTTCTTTACTCTGTCTTAAGAAGGGTGAGTTTCGAAGGGATGAGGGTCGTTTTGCTGGTATCTCGAGGGTTAGTTTTCTTTCCTTCCAGATGTTGTATCCACCCCTTCATAAGTGCACATGAATGGGAGGATGTTGGGGGAGGGTTGAAAGCCTTTCTTCCTGTTCCCAGATAGCACACCACTCTCCTCGCGTTATGTTCCCTTCTTTTGCATGTCTTCAAGCTGCTTAGCTATCCACGCAGGACTTATGGGCTACAACTGGGAGATCAAACATGTTCCATGTAATACGGTCACATTTTTAATGCACTATTTGACAAGGAAGAGGAGGTGAATTAAACTTATCGTCTTTATTTAATGAAGTTGCAATGTTAAAATGTTAGTCAAGTATCCAGTGATTTCTAGTAAAACAAAAAACAAACAAACTGGCTTTATTCCGCAAGCGAACTGTACCGACCGAGCGACCGCCACTTGTCGGCGAAGTTAATACCAACTTTAGCCGATAGAGGATGTAGCGTGGGTAGCGCAACGAGTACCCACGGCCGCTAATTTCGAGAAAATGAAAAAGAATGACAGTCATTCTGTATTCAAATCCTAAAATTATTAAATAAACTTATTAATGATGTATTGACGTATAAAGCATAGGCGCAAATTTTGTTCAAGTTATAATCTGTCACTATAAAAAAAATTAGGAAATGAAGAGCTAATATGAGATAAAAGGAATTCGGAAGAGGGTTCTCTTCCACCCGGCATGCTGGCGTGTGACGTCATTGTAATCTTCGATGCAGCAGTACGCCAGAATCTTTGCATGAGAATGCGAGATAGATAAATAAAAGTTAACACAGAGGCGCTTAGCACAGGTTTTTCTTGTCTTGTCATATATACGAGTACTATCGTATAGTCTGTCTGTTTGTAATTACTTCCTCGCTCTCTCTCTCTTTTTTATGTTCATTTCATTTTATCCGTCCATCCATCAATGGCTATACGGCTCTTTGTTGGGCCCTGGCCATTTTTTCAGTTACGTAATCCTATACACAGTCGGTAGGACTCCTTGGACGTGGGATCAGCCCGTAGCAGGGAGTCTACTTATACACAGGACAGCACAAACACACACAGACATCCATGCATCGAGTGGAATCGAGCCCATCATCTCAGTGTTCGAGCTGGCGAAGACAGTTCATGCCTTAGGCCGTGCCGCCGCTATGACTGGCTATATATTTATGTATATATATATTTATTATATATTTATATATATTATATTACCATTAAATTGGGGACGTTCAGACGTCGCGTTATTCAACAAGGAACTGTATTTAGGAACATAACATTTACGTATAAGGCAGGTTTAAAGTGACAACTGTTATCTGTGAGCGTATGAACAATATTATCTATCATGTGATAGTTTTATGTTTTACGAGCCAGACCAGTGTTACTTGGAGTTCTGAAAAAAATAAAATGTTGTTTTCTATAGCAGCTACACTGCTTTCCATTGGGAACCTCACTTCCTGTTGCTACCGACCAGACAACAGAATCAAGTCCTGAATTCACGCACACAGGACTTTAGTTAAAAAAAAAAAGGTAAAGCTATCGCTGCCACAGGCTTTGGAGCCTTCGAGGCTCTCACATATTCTAGACAGTCGGCTTACAGATGGTGGTGAGGTTGTCAGCCTTACTGGTCTGTGCTTACTGGCTGCTGGTCTGTGGTATTGTTGAGAAATAGTGTGCTAAAAAATTAAGTGGATTAAACTGGCTCATAATAGAGATTAATACGTTTTTGTATTGATAATAACTCTTCGGGTTCCGTGACAACGGATATTTTTTACCGATAATGTAACTATCAGTTGCTGTAGCGTCGTCCTTCTTTTGTTTACAGGTTGAGAGCTCGTGACCAGAAGATCAGAGAACGTATCTACATCTCGCATTCAGCTTCACTCTTCCGTAGGAGGACTGCCTTCAGAGGCAACCCTACTCAGATCACATGCTCCAGAAGGAAACTGCACCACTGAACGTTGGTATGTATTGATTAGCAATGTCTCTTCGTATGCTAGAAATCCTGGCTTTGAATTTCTTCCTGACAATCTCATATCCTGCCTAAGGCTCTTCGTGATTTATCCCATTCAGTTTCTTCAAGAAGATTCTGATGTGGTAGATAGAATTGCGTCACTGTTATCACCTTCGACATCGCCTGCACTTCATCACTGTCATCATTTTATTAAACGGTATTTGTTCTGTGTGAAATGCAGTGCAGTAATTTGTTGCTGGCCCTCGCCAGCACAGTTATTCATGGTTGTGGGTCCCGTTGATCACATTTATTTCGTTCCAGTTCCTCATATGTCTTTGGAAATGGGTCCTCCTCTTCTTTGAAGGAAGGGGCTGGTCTAGGCTTTAACAGAGCGTCATTAAATAATCCGATATATGTTATCACGTATTAGGGGTTTTCATGTCGAATTATAGTGGGTTATGGATTTGATAATTGGGTTTATGGGCGCTTCTTTAAAATTACAGTTGATTATAACAGCCCACACATTGAAGTTCTTCTGATTGCCTCTATGAAAAATTTCTCACTAATCTCGGACATATCTCTGCGACTCGAATTCACGAATCCACTGCCTTTTATAATATCCACGAGGACCGCATAGAAAACACCACGTCGAACAGTTAATTGTCCCCTCTTTATTCTGTTGGTTGCCACGGGAATCTTCTGTATAGCAGCTTTTGCCGGTAATGATTCGTTCGCTGATATTCATTGTAACGGGAACGTGATTTCCGAGCCGTTGCTCAGCAACGGACGTCTGGCTGTGGTTCTACTATTCCGGCTTCCAGCGGTCACGTCACAATATTATCTGTAGGCGTCGAAGAGTTCTTTCGCTTGAAATATTCAGAAAAAAGATAACGTTTGTATTGCAGTTATTTACCACCAATTAGTTTCAGTTATTTCCGCATAAGTTAATGCATTCGTAATATGCTGACAATTAGAGCAGATAACTGCTGCTTTGAAAACACGTGAGCTTTGTAATGAACTCTATTGCAGACATGCTGTAGAGTTAAGTGAACGGTACTCGAAAACTTGGCTTCAGATTCAAGTGAGTGGAGTTCTGATTAAACTGAATTGCTTGCAGATACCGGCTTCATGATAATTGGTTTCTCCCAATTACACTAATTGAACCGCTTGTTGCTTTGTTAATCTCAGGAGGCTGTTGCAGTGAGACTGAATGCCTTTCAAGGCATAAAGAACATACGCTTCATATTAACGTGAATGTTCTCACACAGTCCTTCCGTCGATACTGCTACTTTGAGAATTGGCTGCGTTAAATATCATGAATTATGCAAATATGATTGGCCTGAAGAAAAGCAAGAAAGAAATCCCTTCTAGCGCCATTATTCTCGTGACGCGAAATAGGGTCTTGATGACTGAGGTGTACTGTATGTTGGAGATCCTGTCTAGTAAACCTAGATTAATGACTGTGGTGAATCCATTGCGCTGACAACGCGACACCCTCTATCCGCTAAAGTTGGCACTAACTTTGCCAACAAGCGACGGTCGCTCGGTCGGTAGTGATGAACATAAATAGTCCCTAGAAAATAATAGTAACAAACGAAACGAGAACAGAATTTCATAACGGAGCATGAACTACTAACTTATATCGGTGACGACTGTACAGGGATCCCTGATTGTGGCTATATATATATATATTGTAACGTGTTTAGTTACTGAAGACGCCGTTATATATATATCGAAATGATTTGTGACTGAAAATTATTTAGTTAAATTGGCCAAGATTTATACCATGTTATTAATAATCCCAGATTAATATAATTTGGGATTTAGGAAGCATAAACCTCGTCTTCTGTTTTTATTGTATCCGAAAAGAATAGCATTTATAGAATTTGAAATTTTCACGGCGTTAGTTATGAAGAGTTTTATCTTCTGGGATATAACGCCATGCAGTCTGCTAATAGTCAAGTAGGGCCGCGCCACAGCTCAAGCGGATAGTCGCTGGCTTCCCACCGCGGCTGCCCGGGTTCGATCCCGGGTCTAGTCAAGTAGGATTTGTGGTGGACGAAGTGGCACTGGGGCGGGTTTTCTCCGAGTACTTCTGTTTCCCCTGCCATTCATTCCATCAAATTCTCCATTATCATAATCACCCGGGGCAAGCTACAATAGGCCAATCAGTGGCCGCCGTGCCGAGTGGACCCAGTTGGACTCCACTCCCCACTAAGCGAATTAAAAAAAATTTTAATAGTAAAGTAACATTTCTGAGGAACATGTTGCTTCTCTCTTCTGGGTTGAAAAGTACTTAAGCGAAACAGTAAACCAACATGAAACAGTCAGCTAGCAGAGTCTGATTGCTTCGTAACGTTAGCTGACTTTTAGAGGACTACACGGCGTTACATCTCAGAAGATAAAGCTCTTCCAAACATAATATCTAATAACTTCAGTAAAATACGATTGCAGAGAAAAGACTATGAATTTTATGTGGCGGAGTTGAGTGCGCAAATGTGGATATGCGCGATTTTTCTTTTTATCATGACACAGAAAATCACTTGGATCAACTAATAAATAAATAAAGTTTGATGAAACTCGTACATAGCCACAAAAGTTTTCTGCTACTGGCTCACAAATGTCGGTTCTTATGAATGTTTGTATGAAGATGCATATAAAATATGGTACAGAAGCTATTTAGCTCCAGTCCCACATCGTAACGCGATCAAACTGGAGCCGTAGCATAAATAACACATCAAATGCTTAATAAAATTGTTTATAGCATGAAATTCAATCCGCAATGTAGCAACGTATTTTGCGTATAAAATGTTCACCAATCTCTTCAGTATGTTATGGGTTTAATATGTAAAGATGAGCAAGCCATTTAGAACGGCTTCACGTTTTGCAGTTGTATCAGGCTTATGTGGGCAAAGTCATATGGAACTGCATTTCCTTCCCTCGCAAGGCCCGCGTCACATGAAGCGCAGTATGCTTTCTTTCTCCAGTCGTACTTGAAAGCCAAGACATGGCAGGTGATTAATGCTTAGTTGCGCAGAGAAAGACAGAGCTATAAGACATCAGCTTAGACCACAAGTTGATATGTTCCATTCAATTTCGAGCTTACGTGGTTTCCTTGGGCCTTCTTAAAGGTGTGTTCTAATCTAGAGCCAGATGTAGCCGTCGACGTTGAGGCGCCATGAAGCAAACCCACACACACACATACACGACGCCTGCGTTACGTCGGTCATGAGCTGTATAGTTGAAACTGGGCGAAGTGAGTCATAGCTTGATGAGCAAGTTTGTGCATCAGCTATAAACTACATGAAGCTAAACTTGAAAATATAAACATTTAAATTACAAGAAGTTCTAGAAGAACTAATCGCATATTTTCCTTTAATACTTCACTGACAGCATCCAAAATGGTCCTTCAAACATTTATTCTATTGTTAGACGTATTCGTTGCCGCTGTAATTTATTTACCGGGCCGTTGCCTAGCATCGAATGAAAGGTTGCGCTTAACTGAACCGTTGCCTAACAATTATGGGAGTGATACATATAAAAATACACTTACTGATGATAAGGATTTATGAAATATACCATTGAGATCGGCTCAGTTGCCATGATACGTAGAAAGCAAGTTTCCTAACAATTGTTTCAGGCATCCAAAAGTTGATAGAGGGTGATTCACAACATACCCTTATTTTTTCAAAACAAGAAAAATAGGCTAATAATAATGATAATAATACATGGCAACGATGCTGCAGTGTGGAGTGGGCTTTATGAAGACGTCGCGTGTATAAATATCCCAGAGGATATTATTATCCTTTATCCTCTAATAAGAATTTCACTACAGAACCGTCTACTCTTGTAACATGGACCAGTGGAGACAGTTGCTTGGGGTAGAGAGCCCCCCCCCTCCCTAAGCGTGCGTCGGTGCGTGTATCCGCACCATTACATATGAGACACTGCACAGATAAAAGAGAAAAATATGTCTTATAATTCAGTTTGATGGGGCGAACAAAAATCCCGTAACAAACCACAACAGGAATATGAAATGGTTGCAGCACACAATATTATCTATTCATAGTTCATTATTACAAGAAGAAGCAATCTCAAGGAAATCTGGTGAAACTAATTTCAACCAGTTTAATGAGCTGTATACACGTTAAAGCGTGTTAATCATGGAAGATGAGGGTAGAAACAAAGGATAAAGATAATCCGCATGCTCAGCTTTAGGTTAGGGTAGGTCACCCTGCACCATATACTCGCAGAAACTTTGAATACATGTGCCCTTGTTATTTAAGTAGAGGCTTCTCATTGTTAGTGACGCTTTTCCAGAACAATAATTCACTTCAAAGTGTCTGCATCAAATTTTACCTAACTCTTTACACATGAATATCAATATATTCGACAAATATTCTCTCCAATATGTGCATAAATCTTTTGTTTCGAAATATGTGCTGTAATAGATTCTAAAGGGTTTTTTGACGATGGTATATAACACTCAGAATTACTGAGCTTTCGGACTTTTTCCATCATCCTGTATTCTAGAGACCAGAAAACACCCTTAGAAAGAGCTAACATCGATCACTGGACAACCCCTGTCAGTTTCACTACAGCTATTTAATTATCTGAAACCTGGTTAGATCTTTCTAAGGGAGCCGACTGAGTAGGTGTCTTCCCCCCTCACATCCATTTTCCGAAACGTCGTGTTTTCTAGTCCCTAGAATACCGGGCGTTGGAAAAAGTCCAAAAACCCAGTAATTTTATGCTGTAATGCCTACAGGTTCCTCCGAAACGTTGGGAAGTATCTGCAAGACTGCAGTGATGCGATGTGTTTTCTTGGAAGTAAGAGCTTAGTAAGTCTGAGCTTAAAATATTATGGCTCTGAAAAAAATATTTGTTTCTAGGCAACGGCTCGGTAAACACGTTCCCTCTGAAACGGTTAAGCATGCAACAATAGAAGTTTGTTAGAGACGATGTTTTCAACTCCCTCGGTGCAAAGGAGTTGTATGGAAGACAAATGGA